TCGATCCCCGGTGGAGGCAGAGACAAATGCTCAAAATGTTTCTTTCACCCTGATGCCCTGTTACCTAGCAGTAAATAGGTACCTGGGAGTTAGACAGCTGCTACGGACTGCTTCCCGGGGTGTGTGTAACAAAAAGGAGGACCGGGCCGCGGGGACGCAAAGCCCCGAAATCATCTCAAGATAACCTCCAGATAGATAACCTCCCCGTCTGCCCCTTATCGCCGTGGCAGACCTGTGGTTGGTGACTGCCCAGTCCTCCCTGCCTCCACCTCTCCCCTCAGCCTGTGGTACCCAATGCTTGTGAGCATATATCGTCTTCCTCTCGCCGCCCTGCTGTGCGCTTGAATGTTATATCTAATGTGACACTAAATTTCCCCTCTCCCCTTCCCTCCCTCCTTTCTTCTCACCCCTCCCCCTCCTTTCCTCTCACATCTTTCTTCACTCCTTTCCTCGTACCCCTTCCCCTCACCTCTTCCATTCTCCCTTTCCACCTCCCTCCATCCCTCGCTTCAAATTTCTCCTTCTCCCTCTCTTTCTTTCCCTTCCTCCATTCCCTTCTTCATCTCATCCCCTTTTCTCTTCTTTCCTCCATTCCCTTTCTTCATCCCAAACCCATCCCATCCTTCCCTCCTTTCCCTTCTGTCCCTTCATATTTTCCATCTTCCCTTTCTACTCCCTTCCCTGTCTTCCTCATTTCTCTTTCTCTTCGTTCCCTCCCTACTTTTCCCCCCTTCACCTCCCTCTTTCTCCCTTGCAATCTCCCCTGCCCCCTCCCTTTCATTCCCTCTCCCCTGCATCACTCTTTCTCGTCACGTTTCTTCTCTTTCTCTCCTTTTCCGTACCCATCCTTCCCTCTATCTCTTCCCACACCGCCTCTCCATACATGGGGTAGGCTTTGGTGTTGATTCTTTTAGGTGATATTTTACGAAATATATTGATGCTTAAGTTATTATATTGTCTTAACCACGATCATGAAAATTATCGTTAACATCATCATGTCATGTGTATATAAACATACCTATTTTCACCTTCATATTTTTCTATCTTATAAATCAGTGATTTATTATTTTATTTAGAATTATTTGGACTTGAGTGTAAGGGCAGAGTGTGAAGTGGCCGAGTGCCTGGAGGGTGATGCAGTGCCAGGCACCATTGGGCAGTATCGCGTGCTGCACAGCATTACTGGCACTCGGGCCCATTTGCTCGTGCACACTAGTCTCGCGTACTGTGTCCCGTCCGCGCGATAGTGCCCTCTCAAGCCTTCCTTGCCGCCTTAAGATGCTTTGCGCTTGTGTGTTTTATGCCGCAGCCATTTCGAATGTGAGCTTGGTAGAGGGGAGCATATTGTTTGGGAGGGTAGAGAGGGAGCATATTGTTTGGGAGGGT